TTGTATTTATACATTTTATATAATTATATGTATATATTTATCAATACATAAAATTGAAATCTCTTTCCATCAAATATTTCAGACGGAATTGGGAAACAAGTACGTAGTACTAAAACCAGATACTAGCCTCCTTTATCCTGCTGCAAACTATTTTTGCAATAAAGTGATGGAAATAGTTTGCAAGTACGATGGAAATAATGTACCCTTCATTATCGACTGTGAAAGAATACATAATATCGATTACACTGCAATAAAGGTAATAGATATAATAAAGGTACTTTAATAGGTTGTTCTAATATGATATGCATTACATACATCTTAATTTTAGGGTATCGAATTGATATCATCAAATATCAATGCTGAAGAAAAGAAATTATGGTTTTTGAACGTAAATTTAGAAACGTTTGATATTATCCAAGCTTTTGCTGATAGCAAATATTTTTATTTCATTGATAAAGAGGATGAAATATCTGCCATATTTCAAGGTATATGTTATACTACAGCTTTTAGAAAATATGACAGAACATACAGCATTTACATGTGTTGATGATAACAAGAAACATTCAAATACACTTCCAACGTTTATAACAAACTCTGGAAATGAATCCGAAGATATTGTATTAATGACAACGGCATTACGAGACGCGAAAGAAAAATAAATAATAAACACCACGAATGGGACATCAATTAAAATAATCAAAAATGTACTCATTCCCTTTTTTCTTATTTTAATTACCACTGTATCCTATTTTATTTATTGTCTTAATGTCCTGTCATTTAATATAAAATATTGCATACAGTAGTGACACGTTTAATTACATATGTATGTAGAAAAATTTTTTACGCTGCAAATTCATATACATAAGTACATATGTAACTGAAAAGGTATGTTTCTATTTGTACATACAAAAATATTTATATATAATTAATAATATAATTTTTATTTATACATAAATATAAACAATCTACATAAGTAGTATTTCTTTTACTTAAAGTATTACAACACATACGACTCTAAAAAGAAAAATCGAACATATTCATTTAACGTAGTATTACGCGTCAGTCAATACACACTGATAATAGGTTATGTTTCCCTTGGTTCAATAAAAATTACCGCATGTACCTAATTTAATTTGAAGTTTATGAGAAAAACAATGCCGAATGCTCTAAAATATGAGAACAGTGAAGAAATGGAAGCGAGTAAAATATCGGAGAAAAAGCGACTGGAATCCGTAAAACTTAAAAAAGAAATTTTCAGAGCTAAAGAATTAGCAGTACAAAATGCACTAAGAAATTTGGTAAGCATTGTGTTTAAATTTATCTTATTTCTAATTTTATTTTTGTATAATATTTATTTTTGTAGGATAGTATTCCGAGTAATAATAAAATAATATTTGACGATGATATTAATAAAATAAAGCAACCGAAAACTAAAGAAAAAAAGAAAAACAAACGTGATTTGTTTTATGATGAAGATGACGATGATGATGGACCAGTTTGGGATGATAGTAAATTCAAAATTAAAGATGTTACAGGAAAGGTAATTTTCGTGAATATTATCAATTCAAATTTATATAATTAATATTAATTAATCATTTTTAGTACTTTGGGCATAAGCTTGCCTTAGGGAATGATGAACGATTTAAGCTTGACATGCGTTTTATAGAAGATGATCATAAATCAAATGAAAATATTACCAGAGAAAATGATAATAACACTAGCCTTCAAAGAGAAAAAGAATTACAATTAGATATTTTAGAAAATATTTTAGGGGCACCAATTGCTTCAAAGAATAGAAGCACAAATATAGATTTAAAATATGCAAAGTATGAATAAAAAAAATAAAATATTTGTTATTTATGTATATGCTTTTATATATATTTGTATTGCACATTTTTTAATTTTTTAGAAAAAGAATGATAAGGTATGATCCTACAGAAAACAACCATAAGGAATATGAAATTGATATGAAGAAATCAGAGGTAGATATTAAGAAAGTTCAGAAGAAGAAAAAAATTCAAGATAAAGTTGAAGACACAATTGAAAACTCACCTGTTGAAGTTTCAAAAGATGTATATTTTTCAGTATCAGACACACTGTCGAAAACTTTAAAAGGAGGAGAGCACTTTAGCTTATTAAAAACATATGGAAAAGCAGAAGAAGGTGAATGTTCATGGAATACATATTAATTAAAAAAAAAATTACTTCGTATCATTTATTATTTTTACAAACTTTTTCATAGTTACAGGAAATGATAATTACAATAGATCATATACACAGCCACTGGAACCTCCAAAATTTCAATTTAGTCTTAATTCAAAGAACCCATTTAAATATGATTCTTCTGATGATGAATGTAACAACAAATATGAATATGTAGACAAGGAACAATACATTAATGATGAAATGCAAGACACAAATAAGTTTTTTTTTTATAATAATGATGTTCGTTTTAATGGTACGTATTTTGTAAAGTATGCACATAATGAAATAACCGGAAGCAGTCACTTTTTTAAGAATCTTCATGTTTAATCAATTTTAGAGGCAAACAAATTTTTTTCTGAAGAATCTACACCTAAAGATGGATTTAACGAACTTAGA